AAGTAAATGTGTAAAATTCTGTGAAACCTTGAGAAAAAGAGGGCGCAAGAAAAAGCGTGACAGAGCCAATCAAATTTCGCCAAATTTCATAGATCATTCTAGATCGTCAATTCCAAATTTGGTAAATGCCCTGACTGAACTACCTAAAACCTATCCTAACCTTATCTTAAAGTGATCCTAACCATAAATTTGATTAGTGGTTAATTATATAATTTATCTGTGCTTTAAATATCCTCTTAAATAGCAACCAAAAGTTGTACATATGGCTAAATATACTCTCATTAACCAAGAATTTATTACTATAACCTAATAAAAATTCGCCTTCATGCGACATTGCGAAGGTAAAAAAAAAAAAAAATAGATTTAAAATTTTAGTATTATATATATCTTTTTTTCTTATACCAGAGTAGATTAGAGGGTCCACCAAAATTCAGCAAATCGGCCCGAATTTGGGTCGGAATAGGCCGGAATTAACAAATTTTTTCTAAAAAGTTGCAACCTATGCATTAAGTAAAGCTGCCCAAATGATAATTTTGCTATAATATAGTCGGTCGGTATTATTGCTTAATGTCACTTTGCTCCGGCCCATCCCTGACCCAAATTCGGGCCGATTTGCTGAATTTTGGTGGACCCACTAATCTATTCCTTATACCAGTACCATACCCTATTGGGATATATTATGCAAGCCTATTTACATTAATTTTTTATAAATCAACATAAAGTTCAACCGTAATAACTCTTGACTAGCAAGTTCACTTGTCGGGTTTATTTTAGCATACTCTTTAAAGTAACAACGCCCTTTTTTATTTATTTTTATTGTTTAGAGCATAGCGGGTGTCTCAATTTTCATGCAAAATTGTCACCTTTGATGGTTTTTTTCAAAAACGTAACTTTGAATTTTTGTCTAATTGTATTGTTCAATGGTGATCGACAAAAAATTCAGAGTTACGTATTTGATTTTTTTATTAAAAAAACATCAAAGACGACAATGCTGCATAGAAATTGGGACACCCGTTATGCTCTAAACAATAAAATAAATAAAAAAGGCATTGTTACTTTAAAGAGCATGCTAAAATAAACTTGATAAATGTAATTTTATTTGTGTGAACTTGCTGGTTCAAGAGTTATTGCAGTTTGAATTTTGTATGTTTTTATTATTTTACTATATATTACACTATCGTTGATCTATAAAAAAATTCAATTAATGATTTTTACTATACCTGCACTATGTTTGTAAATAGGCTTGCATGATACACTCCAAACACCACTAGCGTTATTAAAAAAAAAAAAACCAATAAACAATTAACCATTTTGTAAACTATAGTATGATATAATCAGGTTTGTTACGTTTATATGTTTTTTCTATTGGCTTCTAATTCTATTCATTTTTTTTATTTTTCTATTGTAAATTTTGAGTATTAAATTTTACTAATTAAATATAAAAATATTTTAAATTTATTACTTTACTAATGCTCTAACAATATATATTTAATAATTGCAAATTATTATTAAAAAATTTTTTTTATATAAAGACAAAAAATTGAGCTTTTGTTCTATAGTTCTATTAGCCAACACTGGATATAATGTATGACCAACACTAATAAACTTTATTATCATATCAAATCAAATTTAAATAAATCCTATTTAATTAAAATAATATACAATTAATTAAGTTACTCAATAACGCCCATTTTCAGTCCTTGAAACATCTACTATTAATTTTTATAATACAACCATTATATTACAATAATAAGCATGGCTCATGTAACCCTTCACTAACTTCATACCTAAACTATAATCAAAATTTATTTACTTTTTTTTTTTTTTTATCGTCCAAATATTAGGGTGACCTACTAAAAAGATATACTGTTTTCTGCTATGTTGACATAAACGAATTATTTATTGTAGTATTGTTAGTAGCACTGTCATTCGTATCAATCAACTCAGCTGTAACAAGATTTTTCATTCTTGGAAAAAGAACTTTTTCATCTAATTCATCTTGAGCCCAAACTAGCATTTTTAATAAACTAGGAAGCTTTGGATCTTTTTCTTGACTTTGCGAAGTCAAAATTGCTGCATTTAATTCGCTAGCTGTACGTTGACGTTGTGATGGATGAAGTAAATCGCCAACTGGGGAAACAGAAGTATCATCAAACGCAAGTAATGCCATCGTACGCTCCAGTTCTTCCAAAAATTCGGGCTAATAAAACAAAAAAAGCATTTTTAAGAAAATATAAAGTGAAAGGATGAAATGTCTTTAGAGAAATGATTTACATTTTCTTCACCACGGGGTGCTAATTCATCTTGAGCAAACTCTAAAGCTTCCGTTATTTTGCCTTCTCGAATATATTCAATTAATCGTTGTTGCTGGAGATGGAAGTATAACTTCGGATTCGTGTCCAATATCTTTGTGAATAAAATAACAAATAATCTGAGATCATAGTACGAAAGTTATATACATGTGACTATTTTGAAAGATTGAAATAAGACTCATGTTGAAGACTGAAGGGTGAGTATGTATATCATCATCAACCCAAAGAATTGAATTTAAGAGTGGTGCATGAAACAATTTATAATCATTGTCTTAAAACCAGTATTGATACTGGGACGAATAGTTTAGTGTTTACCCGTGCTATTTTCAGCACTCTGCCAAAAATAATGTAGTAAAATCTTTACCTCAGGATTCAAATCATTCACACGTTCAATTGCTTCCTCAACGTTTCCATTTTGAATAGCGTTTCGAATATTCATTCGATCTTGTATGGAATCAACATCAATGCTTGGTGATAATCCACATTCTTGACTAAATGCTTCTGCTGCATCTTTATATCCTTCAATCACGAAATAATTCATGATAAGTTTATTAAGATCCCTATAAAATTTAAAGGCCGAATAAATGTACACTATGTTTCAAGTCTTCTATATTTATTTTAGGCTTCAAACATTGAATTTACAATTTTGGCATACGCTTTATCAATCTTGACATCTGATAATTTTTTGACCCATTCATCCTTTGATACAACTTTTTTGTTAATTTGTGATGTCCCTCCCGTACTAGTCTAAATGATTTATTCCATTAGTTTAAATGACCACGGCAGAAATTGATAACGTTTAGAATTAAATTAGTCTATTCATATTTACCATCAAGTGTATAGTGTATGGTTTTATGGTTAAAAATCGGTTTTCCCGGAAATTATCGTTATTATCAAAAAAAAAAAAAAAATCGACCAATCAAAATCAATCATTTGGAAATAAATCATGTAAATCTCTGAGTTCAGATTCTTTCTCTTCCAAAGTTGTTTTTTGCTCAGTGGACCTTTTTTTTTTGGTATGATATATTTATTATAGATGAAATTTGCATCAATAAATTCATTTTAATTTTGTATATATATTAAATGGATGAAAAAATATTATTAGTCTTAATTGATGGATAATTTGGTGTTTTAGTAATTTATTAATTTAATAAAAAATTCAATATCTCGATTATTTAAAGAATTAAAATTGATTAAGAATGGGTCGTGTCATCCGTTCGCAAAGAAAAGGTCCGGGCGGTATCTTTAGAGCTCATACTAGACTTCGCAAAGGAGCAGCTAAATTACGCCCTTTAGATTTTGCCGAACGCAACGGATACATAAGAGGTATTGTTAAAGAAATAGTCCACGATCCAGGTCGCGGCGCACCTCTTGCAAAGGTTCAATTTCGTGACCCCTATCGGTATGTTAACATATTTTCCTAATAGGATGGTGTATTTAAGTACTAAAATTAAAAATTTTATAACATTTTTAGATATAAGCTTCGTCTCCAAACATTCATTGCTACCGAGGGTCTACATACTGGTCAATTCGTTTATTGTGGCAAAAAAGCCACATTGACAGTTGGCAATGTGCTTCCCTTAGGATCCATGCCTGAAGGTACAATAATTTGTAACATTGAAGAAAAGATTGGTGATCGTGGTGCTTTGGCCCGTGCCTCCGGCGACTATGCTACCATAATTGGTCATAATCATGACGAAGGCAAGACTCGTGTCAAACTTCCTTCAGGTGCTAAAAAAGTTATCAATTCCAATGCTCGTGCGACAATTGGTATAGTCGCTGGGGGTGGTCGTATTGATAAACCTTTACTCAAAGCTGGTCGTGCTTATCATAAGTACAGAGTAAAAAGGAACTGTTGGCCGAAAACTCGTGGTGTAGCTATGAATCCCGTAGACCATCCTCATGGTGGTGGTAACCATCAACACATTGGTCACGCTTCTACGGTTTCTAGGGAAAGCGCTCCTGGACAAAAAGTATATGTCATTTTTATGTTCCAATGTTACTCTAAGATTTTATTTTAATTTTTTGTTTTTTGTTTTCAGGTTGGTTTAATTGCTGCAAGAAGAAGTGGTTTACTTCGTGGTACCAATAAGATTAAGTCTGCTTAAATAAAAATGCTTTTCGAAGGTCGTTATGTATTTATATATTTTGCATGAATAAAATACGGATTAAACCATGTCATCATTTAAGTCACTAATAAAATTATCTGGCTTATAATAAAAAGAATGTGCAAAGGAATATCAAGAAAATACATCAGCTAACAAGAATAAAAAACCATCCTCGTCTTTTTTTTTTTTTTTTTTTTTTTTTTTTTTTTTTTTTTTTTTTTTTTTTTTTTTACTGAGATAAAGCTGTGCCTAGAAGGGGGGATTGACACAACTAGCTTTGTAAAACCGATGACGGAAAATCACTTTCAAATCTTGCAGTCTTTGAACAAAAATAGTGATATCAATATATTAAGATTGTAAAAACCAATTGCCCGTGGTCAACAAATACAATGGCAATTATCTTTTTAAATTATCTGTTTTATCTTTTTAAGTTGCTTTTTTAATATTATGAAGCTGAAATATATAAAATAATTTGGCAGTGTTGTCAATGAACCTGGTTGAACAAACTTTAATTTAATCAAAAACATGCTAATTAAAGGGGACGTCTAAAGCAGAGCTTATAATATATATATTTTTTGAATTAACTTTAGGGTCATCTTATATTGGGGTTAGGTTAGGTTTTAGGTACAGTCTACCCTCCCAAAACCGATCCTGTCAAAACCGATAACCTGTTATGCCCGATAAAAAATTGTTCCACCATGTCTGTTCCATAATTCAAACCCGATAACCTGCTATTTCTGATAGCCGATACTCAAATGATCAGATACGTTAGTTACTAAATTATTTACTATCATAGGACAGCACTATATGATTGGCCCACTATTTAAGATTTTTAAACAATTTAAGAATTTTTTTTTTTATATAGTCAAGGTTAGCCTTTTTGGCTTATTGCTTTTATTAGATTGTAGAATCATGTGGTGTCTTTATTATAGGGGTCCCATTTTGACAAGGGTACATTTGGTCACACATACAACTTTAGTCATTGCCTATTTAAGGACTTTGCTATATTTATAGCTAGCTATAGTTATCTACTACATGCCATATCTGAGATCCACCTGTAGATTCTTTATTTAAACTTTCTAATCTGAGTTTTTTATGTTAATCCATCTAATTTTAGAACATGCAATATATTAGTTAGTGATACAAATCGATAAAAAATTTTCAATCGATTAGTTGATAGATCATTTTATCCAACTAATCAATTAATTGGTTTTATTCAACTAATCGATTAGTTGGCCAATTGATTAATCAACTAATCGATTAGTTGGCCAATCGATTAATCGACTAATCGATTAATCGATTGGCCAGCTAATTGATTAGTTGAATAAATAATAAACGAAACTTGGTAAAATATACATAAGGTAGCAAATGAAACGCTGGTTGATATTCTTATGTGATCAGTTGATTTAATTGACCAATCGACTAGCCAATTAATTGACCAATCGACTAATCAATTAATCGATTAGTTGGCCAATTGATTAATCAATTAGTCGACTAATCGATTAATTGACTAAGTTGGGTCTGTAAAATTCAAATCGATTAGTTGTCAACTTTACAACTAATCGATTAATTCGATTTTCGATTTGTAACACTAATATTAGTTAGTCCAAATTTTAGAATTGTTGCAAACTACCTATAGGATTACTGGCTTGGTTAACCAATTTATTCTTGAGTGTATCACCTGCTAAAGCAGTTTGAAACACACTTTTACCATATTATCTAGTTTATTTTGATAACTTATACTGAGTTCGAGAACAAATATTTGCGAACTGAAACTGCTAATATTACCTGTTGCAAATTAAAATGAAATCTGATTAAAATGAAACTGGTGACCTCTCATGCCTACTTTTAGAGTTTATAAAATTCACATATACTTATTTATTAATAAATTTAACCCTAAATTCTACTCCTAATGCTAAAAAGAACATCAAAAAATGTTTTTCAAAAAATTTTAAATTTTCTTTAAAAAACAGAAAAATTTCGTTTTGATTAGATTTCATTTTAATCTGTAACATTACTTACTCAGCTCTTGTAGAGTTCATTTAAACTCTAGTATCTTCCTTCAAAACAACTCAATACCTTTTTTTTCAGTACCTTCTAACCATTTTTTCAGACTACCAATCCCAATCTAGATAGTCCAAAAGGGATATTAGTCCTGTAATATCTGCTGATTTTTTTTTCTGGTCGATGCTCATACCAGTGGCCTAGTTGGTGAAGCAACTTGTTGAATGCTTTTGTTGTATCTAGTTAACCAGCCTCAGGTAAAGCCTATTCTAATAGCCACTGTTAAAAGTTTGTATTGTCTTTCTATTTAGATCTTGCTAAGCAAGTGTTTATCTTTTTAGTTTCTTGTATTAATACAATCATGAGAACTTATCTTGGGTTTACACCACCCAATATTGGTTAGAGTTTAAGTTGTGAATGCATATAGCATATGCTAGATAGCTTTCAAAGACCAAAGTAGCTTTGCTTAAAAGTATATATTTGTTGTTTGATAAAAATACACAAGCAATGTCTTTGAATTTGCAAATAATACATATATGAGTATAATAAGAGTATGTTTGTATTTGAGGAGTTTGAAATGAGCTACTAGATGTTATAGTAGCAAAGTAGTTAAGTAGTAGATGTTAAATCGATATTCTTTGCTTTAGATTGTTGAGAAGGAGAAGAAGTAACTTGTTTGAGTAGAATATTTAAATAACTTGAGGTAAAAAAAAGTATAGTATTTTTGACAGTAGTAGTGAATGATAGCTGGTTTTTTAGGTATATAGAAATAATGAAGAGTTTTTATAACATTATATTTACTTGGATTGAATGTGAAAGGCATTGCTTTTAATTCACTAAATTAAGTATCATAAATTATAATATGCTATAATAGTCATTATATTTGTTATGAAAATATACAGATTAAAATAAAAAAATCATACATATATCCTACACAAATTTGGTATCCAATATATGCAGAATATGTGTATAATATGTATAGGATATGTATAATTTGGTACCCGATTTGTGTAGAGTTGATATAGAATATAGTACATATATAGTATATATCATACATCTGCTATACATCTATATTATATATATCAGATACCTGATAATAGATATCCTACACATATCAGGTACCAGATATGTATAGGATATATAATGAATATATATCCTACATATATCTGATACATAATATGTATAAAAAATCATTGAATATAACCAATTAAATTTATATAAATAATAATCAAAATAGTTAAATACTATATATATTAATTTTGATTATTATTTTAAAATAATAAAAACTAATATTAAAATTATTTTATAATTTAAAGTTAATACTAAATTTATATGCAAAATTTTATAAAAAAAACTTTTGTTAAAGTGCAAGAACCTATTTTATAACCAAAATTTTTAGTTATTAGAAGTTTTTTAAAAACAAAACCAAAAAAAAATTTAAGAAAATTAAAAAACTGCTCTGAAACAAGGTTTGGTACTAAGTAAACTAACAAGGTTGATTAAGACAACTTTGTTCTCTAGACAAAGATGGTTCTAAAAGTGGTAAGATTATTAAAAATAGTTTAGTAGATCTCTTTTTATAGTCTTTCAAAGTTTTAAAATAATTATTTGCATAAATTATATAATTTAGACAATTGTTGTAAAACTTTGAGAGGCTGTAAAAAGAAATCTACTGGACTGTTTTTAATGATTTCACCTAGTGTTCAAAATAAGCTGACTTATTATAGCTTGCTGCAGGTTAAATGGCTTATCATGTGATAAATTCAAATTTATTATGTGATATGTTCGAATTTGTCACACAAAATGTAACAACTTTGAATTTATTATGTGATAAGTTTGAATTTATCATATAATAAGCTATTTAAGTCACAGCAAGCCATACTAAGCTGGCTTATTTTAAACACTAATTTCACTACCTTTAGAACCATCTTGGTCTGGAAAACAAAGTTGTCTTAATTGATCTTGACAGTTTACTTAGTACTAAACCTTGTTCTGAAACACTTTTTTATTTAACTTTAGAAATATAAAAATAAATAAAAAACTGCTTCGAAATCATGTTTGGTACTAAGTAAACTGACTAGATCAATTAAGACAACTTTGTTCTCCAAACCAAAGCAGTTCTAAAGGTAGTGAGATCATTAAAAACAGTCTAGTAAATCTTTTTCTATAGCTTCTCAAAGTTTTAAAACAATTGTTTGTATAAATCATATGATTTAATCAATCGTTTTAAAAATTTGAGAAGCTATAGAAAAAGATCTATTAGACCATTTTTAATGAACTCACCACTTTTAGAACTGTCTTGATCTGAAGAACAAAGTTGTCTTAATTGACCTTGCCAGTTTACTTAGTACCTAACATAGTTTCAGAGTATTTTTATTTATTATATAAATAATTTATAAGTGTAGAATATATATATAATATATATATGATATATGTAGAATATGTATATGATATATGTAGGATATATATAGAATATCCTGCATCAACTCTACATATATTGGGTACCTGATAGATATATGATATATATATGATAGGTGTTAGATATATGACAGATTTTTATTGATATCTGTCAAGTACTTATTTGTTATTTATCTGATACCTGATATTTATAATCAGACACATATTCTACATATATCCTATATATATCTGTATATTAGATATATGTAAGATATGTGTATGATATTTTAATTTTAACTTGTGATAGTCTAAATCATAATAATTTAGCTCCTAGTTAGTTAAAGTAAGCATTTTGATAATAAAGTTTTATAAAAAAAAACTTATTATTATTGAATTTAACAAGTTATTTTAGAGGTTAAACTAAAAATAAAGGCTAAATTAAATTGTGGCTAATGTGGATAGTGTGGCTAGTAGGTGTAATCTTATATAATTTTGTATAACAAGTAGATATTTTGTAGCTGGTATAGGTTGTATGCTTGTGTAATCTAATATAATATAATAATAGTATAACAAAAGTTATGTA